GCGGGCTGAGGGAGCTGGAGAGGGTGCTGACGGAGCGGGCTGAGGGAGCTGGAGAGGGCGCCGACGGGGCGGGCTGAGTGAGCTGGAGAGGGCGCCGACGGGGCGGGTTGAGGGAGCTGGAGAGGGTGCTGACGGAGCGGGCTGAGGGAGCTGGAGAGGGCGCCGACGGGGCGGGCTGAGGGAGCAAATTTACCTGCAATCACGAGCTCCTCACAATATCTCTCGCAAAACACACTTCGGGACACGGATTCAGATGATGGACAATGGCCAATGCCATTATGGCGAATTTAAGTCAAACCACGCCACTCTGAGAAGAACAAAGTTATGCAAAAACATGATGACGACATTAGTTTTTTACTGACCGTATTTACAGCATAGTGTTTTTTGTAACTCAAGAATATATTTTCAATTATATAAATTAATAATTTGATTTAGATAAGACAGTAGAATCATATTCATTCCCGGGAGAAAAACCAGGAGAATGGAGATATAGTTGGGCTGTTTGCTATTTTTCCACTTAAGGAAACTGAAATGATACTTAGTTGACTCCTTCGATAAACAAAATGACGATGCACAGCCTTAGTTTGACGGTTACATGATGTCATGTAAGGTTCATATGAGGACGAGGAACATATTGATAACTGTACTAAAATGACACTTAAAAGAATTGGGAGGTAGTTGAGCGTGCCCACAAGTTGTTCACAGTCTTCCCATTCGGCAGTGCTGAAAAGTGTCTAGGTCACTAAAACATCGTTCGTTCTTCTAGTGTTGTGATGCGCGCAATTTCATCCCAATCGAAAATTCTGAGCATGGCCATTACAGCCCGGTATTAAAAGTACAGAAGATAAGAACATGCATGTAAAAACAACACATGCAACATAAAGCCACTCATTTACCAGCCACCAATAGCACCGGAGGTCAAACAGGTGCGCTCTCAGGGCGCCTGCGAAACGCTGCTGTGGTAGTTGTATGATAGCAGGGGCCAGTGCCACAGACAGAACTTCGTTGAACTGGACTTTGATCAATGAGGGCGTTTGAGTCTCTTTTCATGAAGGACAGCCATTCATGAGTCTCCCACGCTCGAGGCGAGTGGACGTTTTTGTTTAACCTCTAAGAAACTTACCTCGGACGTATGTCAGAACCCAGCTCCTTTTCGCACGGCGCATTTAAATAGACTTAACAAACAATCACGTGTCTGCTTTATCATATCACTGATGAAGCCAAGACTTCCCAAGAAAAGCGGTTAACGTTTCAGACGTGTAGCTCATCATCGGTAAATGAACGGCGCTGGTGTAATGGTCACAGCGCCAATTCATTAGAACGAAACAAAACAAAGTTTCAGGAATAAAGCCCAACGAATAAAGCCCAACGAATAGCCACTAGAGTTGGACTCTGAGCGCCTTACGTCAAAAAACTTTAATATCAAACGAAAGACCGCCAAACAACGCGTACACGTTGAGTAAATTGCGATAATGCGCTGAATTAGCCCCGGCCGACGACAACGCGCCACAATCGCCTTTAGGTTCGCATGGCGATAATACAGTACCAGCATGCCAGTGATGTCAGTACGCCAAACATGCCTGAACGTGTCCTGCACTCATCGTGTAGCCCACCTTCAAATGCATTCGATTCCATGAGGAAAGTACCTGAAAATTAATATCCTTCAACTCGATATGTATGTTATACAGGATACATCTATCCCACGTTGAAAGGTATCATATGAAGCACCGCTAAACAAGTTACATACAGTTATATGCTGGAAAATCTCTCGATATCACTTATTTTGGAAAGTGTGACCCTCCAATGGAAAATACTCAAATTCTAAGCACTCCTGGTGTTTACGAATAAGCCAAAGGGGCCAGGAAACAGGATGCATGGTCCAGGATGCACGGTCCAGGATGCATGGTCCAGGACGCATGGTCCAGGACGCATGGTCCAGGATGCATGGTGCAGGACGCATGGTCCAAGATGCATGGTCGGGAGTGCACCAAGTGCATCAACGAACCAGGTTCTGTTTTTTGCGGGGATCGATGAAAACCAGGGGTCAAACTCTGGTGTTTGCTAGGCACCCATTTAGCACCAGAAGCCTCAAGGGAGTAGTAGAATGTGACATTGTTCACAAGGAGGTAGGAGGAGGTAGTATGGGGGGAGTAGTATGGAGGCAGTCTTGGTAGGAGATAGTATTGCGTGCACAAACGCCTAGCGGCTGGGCTGTTATCATTTGCCACCGCGGGCAATGCAACTTTGACGGAGCGGAACACAGGGGGGGACATTATGCAGCAGGTTCATACTGCTGTCACACTGCTGCTATGGATATTACGCGGCAGGTTCATGCCGCTGTCATGACATTGTTGTCCCTCGTGGTTTAAGCTGCGCTGATGTAGATATTGTACAGTGATGTTGTACAGTGATGTTGTGCAGTGCGTAATTTGCCGATCCTTAGGTATCTGCGCTCTCGTAGCAAGCGAAGGGAGAGCTTAACAGAGGACGTTAGAAGGCCATGCCTGCTGCGACATCCTGCAATAGTTTTGCACTATTTGTCCTCGGCTAGTCGAATTAAAGATGATGATTTTCCTCGACGCTTGCCGAATTTGTGATCGCATCGGGGAGTACTTGACGCAGTAAGGCTTACAACTTCCATCTTCTCACAGACGGCGGAGCTCATTAATACTTCACCTGCGCCTTAATGTCCATCATTTTCATGCAGACGGAGCAATAACTTTTAGATGAGACGGTATAAATAGCCTTATTTCTCGTTCAATGTGCAGGGGGATGAAAAAATAGATGTGCTATTTCGGCAACATGCCTTCATCGAAAAGAATATTACTATCACTAGTGTCAAATACCACTACTGATATTTGTTTTGCCAAAGGCATGTAGCCGAGGTATCACATCTATCTCTCCTTTTCCCTGTTTACTGTACGAGGAGTAAGGCTATTAATACTGTCTCATCTACATGCACAGTGCTCCTCGCAAATGCACGTATCAACAGGCATTAGCTTGACTAAATGCTTACAAACGCATAGTGGCATCATCATATATCAGTACTGTTTTTTGTTTGGGGGGGGGGCAAATTTCAAGAGTATCGTTGGCCCTGGAATGGTCTCAGGTTACCTCACGCTGCTGATGAAGATAAATGATCGTGCTTTTACTTGAACCTACCTTACATTACAATGCTGTGAAAAGCCCAGGAGTAGGGAAACGCGCTCGACTTGACCTGGTGCTGCCGAACAGTCGGTGGAGTATAATCACGATTGCTGTTGCTGGGTGTAGCACAGTTTTCTGGGCTACACCGCATCCACTACGCTTGGTGTAGCACAGTCCCCAGTCTCCAGTGACCGCGGCCGGGGGATAAAGTGCAGAGGTCCCTAACTCTTGCGAAGGTCGCAAATCCACCGGCACTGGTCTTGGCTAAACGGCCATTTCGGGAAGAATGCAAGGAACTGAATTCCGGAAATGGAAATTTGGAAGAAATGGCTGGCTTCTTTTTTGTAGACTTGTAAGAATTCAACTGCATGCAGAGAACTTGAAAAACGGGCCGTCATTGTACTGACTAAATGGCGTAAACATGGACTGTCGAACCGATTCAAGCGTTTTAACATGAGTGCCCTGCCGCTAGTGGACTCCATACCTTTAACATCTGACTCACATACCGTTGACAGCTGTTCTCATGCAGTCCGAATGCCTGTATTCAAGACGATGTATTTCGACTCATAAGTGCATTCTTCTTCACGGTGGATGCCTATTTTGCTTAAATTCTGCTCAATTTAGAAACCGCAAGGAAAGGCCGAACCCTTCCCGGCATCCCACCTCCCGGCCTCAGACGACCTTCACACGACCTTCACACAGCCATGGCCCCCAACGCCCTTTACGCTGGTGAGCATGCCTGCGGCCCTCGTCAGGAGCCAGCTCACCTTTTTCCACGGGCCGTTCCGCTCGGTGTTTGAGCGGGTCACGCACGCGAGACCGTATGCAACCCCTGCATCGCGTGCGGTCCTGCCGTGCGGCCGGCACGTTACCGACTAACGAGCCGTTTGACAGGAACCAGCTGCTAACACAGGCCCTGTTCGGTCCATTTAGCCCGGCCATTGTCTGTTTAGCAGCGCGGTACTCGGCCAAATGGCATGCAGCGCGCCGGGAACACCTCGACCGGCTCACACGTCGCCGGCGAGCCCACGTGATTTGACACCCTGAGGAGTAATGACATCTGGAAGGGACACACGCTGTGCGGTACACTGCGGAGGGCCCGCGTGATTTGACACCCTGAGGAGTAATGACATCTGGAAGGGACGCACGCTGTGCGGTACACTGCGGCGGGCCCGCGTGATTTGACACCCTGAGGAGTAATGACATCTGGAAGGGACGCACGCTGTGCGGTGCACTGCGGTGGGCCCACGTGATTTGACACCCTGAGGAGTAATGGCATCTGGAAGGGACGCACGCTGTGCGGTACACTGCGGCGGGCCCACGTGATTTGACACCCTGAGGAGTAATGACATCTGGAAGGGACACGCGCTGTGCGGTACACTGCGGCGGGCCCGCGTGATTTGACACCCTGAGGAGTAATGACATCTGGAAGGGACGCACGCTGTGCGGTACACTGCGGCGGGCCCGCGTGGTTTGACACCCTGTGGAGTAATGACATCTGGAAGGGGCGCACGCTGCGCGGTACACTGCGGTCGCCAATGGCAATGCGTAGAACTGACCTTCAGCTGAATTCTGAGGCACGCGCCGTTGCCTCTGTATTACGCTGCGTGACTGCTGACTCCTGACGGTGCGAGTTATCTTCCATCTGGTTAAGTGGGCCCCAAACACTCACCGGCAGTTTCTCCTGTTGTAGCCGTTGTTTTGTATTCACTCTCCAGGAAGTGGAGGATGGCTGGGAGTTGCCGTGATGTTGTCTGCTGATGGTGTCGGTTGTCTCTTAACACAGGCTGAATAATCGCTGGAGTCTCTCCGTGATGTGGTTTGCTGACAGCACCGATTTTCTCTCGGCCCAGGTGGACGGTCGCTGGGAGTTTCCCCGGCAGCGCCTGCTGCTGGGAGACACGCTCGGAGAGGGCGAGTTCGGCAAGGTGGTGCGCGGCAGCGCCCTGGGCATCAGCGGATCATCAGGTAACCAGCGCTGAAGCCTTCCAGCTACCCATCACACATGCTTTTTAGCAGTGGTGCAGTGGATCAGTGGCGCAGTGAATCAGTGGTGCAGTGGATCAGTGGCGCCGCGGATCAGTGGTGCAGGTATATCGGCAGTGGTGCAGTGTCGACCACACAGTTCCGCGGCTCGGTGTAGTTACGCAGTTTTCGGCTGGCAGGCGACACGCTTGTGACCATGAAGGTGCTAAAGTTCAGTTGCACTGTTCATGGGTATGGTGCAGTTGCACTGTTCTGGCCGGAAGTCCACCGAACACTCGCATGCGTCGCAAATGCACAGTTACACGGGTCTGGCTGGCAGGCTACACAGCGGTGGCGGTGAAGATGCTGAAGCCGGCCAGCACGCCAGCGGAGCTGCAGGACCTGCTCTCCGAGTACAACCTGTTGAAGGAGGTGAACCATCCCAACGTGATCCGTCTGCTGGGAGCCTGCACCGGTCCCGGCGGGCCTGTCTGCATCATCATGGAATACGCCGAACTGGGCTGTCTCAGGTTAGACGCCGCTGCCCCGAGAGATTGGCTTCATCATAATGACGTAGGCTTTGGAGCGAGGTGTCGGCTCGACCATGGACCGCGCCCGTCGAGAGAAAGTGTAGCATTGCTGATGCTTTGATCCAGGGAATGGTTTGGGAGAGTGGCTGTGGCTGTGCGCCGTGGCTGTGCGCAGACCACGTTCAGAGGTAAGGTAGAGTTGACCGTGTTGTCATCCAGGTAACGGGCCGACTCCAAGCTTAGTTTGAGACAGCTCACGATTCAGTGTGTCCGCGCGTCCTCCGCGTCACTAGATAATCACGTCACCTACGTTCATTTTGCAGCCTGTGTTCGTTGTTTAAAATGAGAACGTGCGTCATGACCAAGTCATACGTTATGCTGTGCAGGGCTGATTTGGGCTAAACTCTGCTTCCGAACATTGCTTTTTGATACATGGTCGTAGAGCCGTACGCACCGCAGTATTATGGTTGTAGAGCCGTACGCGCTGCAGTATTATGGTTGTAGAGTCGTACGCGCTGAAGTATTATGGTTGTGGAGCCGTACGCGCTGCAGTATTATGGTTGTAGAGCCGTACGCGCTGCAGTATTATGGTTGTAGGGCCGTACGCGCTGCAGTATTATGGTTGTAGGGCCGTACGCGCTGCAGTATTATGGTTGTAGGGCCGTACGCGCTGCAGTATAATGGTTGTAGAGCCGTACGCGCTGCAGTATTATGGTTGTAGAGCCGTACGCGCTGCAGTATTATGGTTGTAGGGCCGTACGCGCTGAAGTATTATGGTTGTAGAGTCGTGCGCGCTGAAGTATTATGGTTGTAGAGCCGTACGCACTGCAGTATTATGGTTGTAGGGCCGTACGCGCTGCAGTATTATGGTTGCAGAGCCGCACGCGCTGCAGTATTATGGTTGTAGGGCCGTACGCGCTGCTGTATAATGGTTGTAGAACCGTACGCGCTGCAGTATTATGGTTGTAGAGCCGTACGCGCTGCAGTATTATGGTTGTAAGGCCGTACGCGCTTCCGTATTATGGTTGTAGGGCCGTACGCGCTGCTGTATAATGGTTGTAGAGCCGTACGCGCTGCAGTATTATGGTTGTAGAGTCGTACGCACCGCATTATTCGCACGGCCAAGACCGTCCTCTTTGTCTGTTATATCTGGGAATGTTGTGGGTGGCAATCGCGCACGACATCGCGGCGCAGCGCACTAGCCAGTGGCTCTTCGTGTAACCTGCCAACCACGATATCCCCACGACAGCCGTCTGTAACTTGAGTGCTTTTTTACACACCGTGCCACAAACTAGATACCTCTCTACCTAGGCCGCCTGTGTGCCTTCCATTGCTGAAGGTGTGACGTCACGCCTGTGCTCAGAACGTACCTGTACCGGAGCCGGAAGGCGTCGCTCGGCGCCGGTGACGGCGACAAGGCGTGTGCCATCACGCCCAAGGAGCTCATCAGCCACGCCTGGCAAGTGGCCCGGGGCATGGCCTATCTGGTGGAGATGAAGGTGGGCCGCTAGCAGTGCTGCACCGCCCGTGGGACGGCGCTGCACCCGCTCGGTGGGGTGCAGCGCCGGGTGCAGCCACATGTGCTGGGTGTGCCGGGGAGGACGGACAGATCTAGAATGCCTGTAGAGAGCGTTACAGCTAGCTGCTTAAGTGTGGGTATGGGGGCGGCAGGGAATTGAAAACACTGTACGTATTTGAGAGAGTCATGGCAGGAAGGGTATAGACGCCCAGGTGCCATGCCGTATGCAATGTTTTTTATGAATTAATTGTGTCATGGACTCGTTCTCCAGTCAAGTGTGTTAAACACGGGTGTGCTAAGCAATGCGGTCGGCAATGAGTGATTTTGGCCTTTAGAAGATAGGACGCTTCCAGACGCGAGTTCTCGCGTGGGGCTGTTTGAACGCACCGCGACCAATTATCCGATCCGGCACATTTCAGTGGTGGAACCAGTTTCAGTGGTGGAACCAGTTTCTCGCCGCCGGCAGGCGTCAGCCTTAATTTCCCACGCATTCCACATGCACGTGTTGTCCCACGGATGGTGACCTGGCCGGGAGATAGGCACCGTTCAAACGCTGGCTTTGGTGCTGCAACCAAGAAAGCATGCCGGAATCGAGGATCGCACCAGGGACCTTTATATACCACCATAGTGTCCCAGCCACGCTGTCTGTATGCGCCAGATGGTTCACCGTGATCTGGCGGCGCGTGCGCTAGCCACGCTGTCTGTATGCGCCAGATGGTTCACCGTGATCTGGCGGCGCGTGTGCTAGCCACGCTGTCTGTATGCGCCAGATGGTTCACCGTGATCTGGCGGCGCGTGTGCTAGCCACGCTGTCTGTATGCGCCAGATGGTTCACCGTGATCTGGCGGCGCGTGTGCTAGCCACGCTGTCTGTATGCGCCAGATGGTTCACCGTGATCTGGCGGCGCGTGTGCTAGCCACGCTGTCTGTATGCACCAGATGGTTCACCGTGACCTGGCGGCCCGGAACGTGCTGCTGGCGGAGGGCCACGTCTGTAAGATCTCCGACTTCGGCCTCACACGGGACGTGTACGAAGGCAGCCTCTACCAGAAGACCAGCAAAGGAAGGGGTCAGTCGACGCCACCTTTGGCGTGTGGGCACTCAAACACATACCAAACTGTGCCTTTCGTGGTGAGGGCTGGAGGGGGGGGGGGGGGGAAGAGGAGATATTGACACCCGTTGAGGAGGCATAGCAACATGAAACAAGGAACACGGATCACCGAACACGGAACACGGAACACAGAACGCAGAACACAGAACACGGAATGTTCATGTGTCAATGGCTGTGGTGGGGCAATGCCCGATCACAGCCAGTGCGGCTCAAACCAGCGTCGCGGGCCCGGAGTGTTCCAGCCAATCAAAGCCAGCGTCGCGGGCCCGGAGTGTTCCAGCCAATCAAAGCCAGCCGCACCGCGTGACGAGCGCCACTCCTCGCGGCTCATCAAAGGCGGCGAGTTTCCGGCCCGCTGACCTCGCTTCCGGCGGCGGCCGCGCCCGGGGCGGCCCATGCCGTGCCGCCGGAGCCGGGGGGAAGGGGGGGGGGGGGCACGCCCCGTCCGTGACGGCGTCACGCTAGTCTGACGCGGGTGACACGCCATGCTCGGCCGCAGAAATAGCAGGCGTGGGCGGCTCGACCGAGCACGGTCACGGACGCGCGTGTCTGCCAGGTGATCACAGGCTGATTATCTGCCTGGTGATCACAGGCTGATTATATGTCTGGTGATCACAGGCCGATGATCTGTTTGGTGATCACGGGCTGATGATCTGTCTCGTGATCACAGGCTGAAGATCCGCCTGGTGATCATAGGTTGATGATCTGTCCGGTGATCACAGGCCGACGATCTGTCTGATGATCACGGGCTGATAGTATGTCTGTTGATCACGGGCTGAAGATCTGCCTGGTGATCATGGGCTCACGATCTGCCTAGTGATCACAGGCTGATGATCAGTCGGGTGATCACGGGCTGATGCCCTGTCTGGTGGTCACGGGCTGATGCCCTGTCTGGTGATCGCGGGCTGATGATCTGTCTGGTGATCACGGGCTGATGATCTGTCGGGTGATCACAGGCTGATGATCTGTCGGGTGACTAGAGGCTGAGGCGCTCCGTCATATAGCTCCCTGGTGCGTCCCCTCTCTCCCTCAGGTTGTCATGCGGCGTTCCGCTTCCTCTGGCAGAAAATCGTCTGGGTTTTTTGTTATCTAGTTATTCAGTTGCTTGGAAATATGGCGATGACCGCGTCTGCACCGCGTGCATGCGTACACAAATCACACAACTATCACTACGGGTCATTAAGTCCATGAAATCATTCGCACGGTTTTATGCAGCCGTCTTTTTGCATTGACATCATCGATACCCTGCCAGATCGTTCCTCCATTATATCGTTGATATGTGAAGGAAATGAGCGAAGGAATTCAACGTGCTTTTCTAGCATAAAGTTCCAAAGTCTCAGACGCATAGCGGCTAAACTAGCTTGTTGAAAAACTGGTAATTATATGTCTGAAATGCATCAATGAATTGCATAGGCAATAAGACGGCTTGAGTGTATCCAGCCGCATATGAACCAACCAGGCTTCCTTCGTACTTATTTCCACCGACCTCACGGTGTTTCAGTGCCGGTCAAGTGGATGGCTATTGAGTCATTGGAGGATCACATATACACCAGCAAATCGGACGTCTGGAGCTTCGGCATCCTCCTGTGGGAACTGGTGACACTCGGTACGTCTCGGACGCCGCCGGGCCATCCTCCTGTGGGAACTGGTGACACTCGGTACGTCTCGGAGGCCGCCGGGCCAGCGCGGCAGGGCTGGGCACCGGGCTGGGCACCGGGCTGGGCACCGCGGCGGCAGCATGTCATTTATCATCGGCGCTGTTTCCATTTATCATCGGCGCTGTTTCCATTTCGCCAACTCTCAGTTTCAGGCGACTGGCGGCCTAATGCGCAGCGAGACATTCCAACTGGCCCGGCCGGGGAGGGCGTCCGACGCCGCATTTTGGTTTTTTTGACGCACCACTAAGGCCGGATGTTCGTTGTTCCTCGGTGATGTCTGCCTCTTATAATGACCCCAACCCACCGTGGTTTCGGCGCTCACTGTCATGGATGGCATGAGCACCCCTGGCACTGTGGTGAGCATGGGTGGTATAACCATCTCTGACACTGTGGTGAACGTGGGTGGTATGGGCATCTCTGACACTGTAGTGAACGTGGGTGGTATGGGCATCTCTGACGCTGTGGTGAGCATGGGTGGTATGGGCATCTCAGACGCTGTGGTGAGCACGTGTCATAAGTGGTGCAGCATGGCGCCTTATTATGGAAAGTGACCGGTAATACTTCTTTAAATAATATATTTTACGCATGCAGCCGAGTGGCATCCACCTGTTTTTGATCAGGGTGCTTCACAAGCTTCGTTTTAATTTGTTTTTACCAACTGTGAAGCATACATTCAGTTGATATTTGGCCTTGAAGCAAAGTACTGCCCTATTAGACGGAATGCTCCACATTTGCCTGGGGTTTTGAACTGAGCTGGCCATTTTGCCAACCATACAGTACTTTTCAC